AGTCAGAACAAGGATTCACCATCTGGGCCTCCTCTCAACAACTCCTCTCTTTCCCAGGAGATCTAATGGGCCTCCAAGGCTACAAACGCCCCAGGGGACCGTTCAGGACCAAGACTGGAACAGCAGGAAGCATCTTCCCTCTTCTCATCCCCAAAAAGTCCCAAGTTGGATGAGGCGAGGCAGGGAGAAGCATCTTATTCTCCTCTTGTCCCAAGAAGTGTGAGGACAGGAAAAGCCTTTCCTCTGTCATCAGGAAGACATGCAGCCACAGAGCTTTACTTCCATGTTCTGATGGGAACAAGTATGAGGGAGAGAGCCTAGGAGATGCACAGGGGGTGTAAGGAGAGGTCTTTCTAGTCACCATGGCAGCACACAACTTTCTTCCTTTACGTCCTTGTGCTTATTTCTGTGGAGAAAAGGCAGACTCCCCCAACCAGGAAGAGAAACAATTCCTGGTCCTGACCCTATGGGCTCCGACAACTGATTCTACCTGCAGTAGTCAAGGGTAGAAAGGGAGCAAGGACAGGGTGCTCAAGACAAGGCCCTGGCCCCTGTGAAGTAAAGAAAGATTTATCTGAACCAAGGGAAAGAGAGATATGGGTAGAGAACTTCCCTGGAGTGGGCTATCTCTGGCGAGAACAAAGCTTGTTGAAAGCAATTCAGGAAGCTCAAAACATTTCCCTGATCCTGGAAATGAGAGGCAAACAGCTCGGTCAGGGAGAGACTCAGGGGAGGCCTCAGCCACCACGTCCCCAGTACCTGGCAACCTTCTCATAGACAGCAGGGAAATCTTCCTGGTAAGGGGTTCTTAGGACTATGAAGAGCACCCACGTCTTTCTGTTTAATGGGGGAGGCCGCAGGCCACACTGGAGAAGACCTCATGTCCCTCTCACTGGTGAGAAAGGACTGCTGGTTGCAGGATGGTGGAGAGAGCCTCATACTCAAGGGGGGAGCTGAGGCCCCTCCCTAAGGTGAAGGATCTCTTGTCCCTGAGAAGCTTAGGCCCCTGGGAAGAGGCTCAACTTTTCCTCAGAATCCCATCCTATCCGTGTCCCAAGGGGAGTAGGTAGTTCTCAGGATTTAGTTCACAAGTGGTCTGAGGCTCAAGTCCCCAAGGCAAAATATCTTATGTCCCTAAAAGGTCCCTATGACTGTGGTATACATATGCTATCTGAAGTGAGGTGACAATTACTCTCAGGGAAGACTCAGGTCTCAGGTCCTAAGGTGGGTTGAGTTGTCTCACACACCAAAGAGAAAGTTTAAACTCTTAGGGGGAGACCCAAGACCCTACTCCCTAGGGACTTAGGGCCCAAGGTGGAAGGAGTCTTTCTGTTCCTGAGGAATACCTTAAAATCCTTGAGGGGGAAGCCCAGACATCATCTCTAGAGACACACCAGTCACTGAGGTATGTATGGGTCTCTTGTCCTTGAGGGCAAGCTCAAGTGTCCTTGGCGCAATGGGTCTTAGGCCCTGAAGGCAGACTCAGATCCATGGGGAGGCCTCAAGCTCCATCTCTGGGACTCCATGCTGCCCATGTTCCCTGAAAAGTGGTATGAGGCTACAGTTCCCAAAGCAGGGATCTTACATCCCTGACAAGAAGCTGAGGCCCAAGGCGCCTGGGTGGCTCAGTTAAGCATCTGCCTTAGGCTCAGGTCGTTATCCTGGAGTCCAGGGATGAGCCCCACCTCAGGCTCCCTGCTCAGCGGGGAGTCTGCTTCTGTCCCTCTGCTCCTCCCCCACCCCCCCAACCCCTGCTTGTGCTCTCTCTCTCAAATAAATAAATAAAATCTTTAAAAAAAGCAGCAGCTCAGGCCCTTGGGGTAGGGGGTGCTCAGATCCCTGTTGCAGGGAGAGAAGGGGCTGTTATGTACCCAAGGCATGTTCTGGCCCTTCATAATTAGAAAGATCTCATATCCCCGTGTTTCTGTGTGTTGGGAGGGGGGTGTCTCAGACCCCCCAAGGAGAACACTCAGATACCAATCCCTGATGAGAAAGGACCTCTAAAGACCTCACCTTGCCTGGGACCTCTGTGTGTGGGGGGTATCCATCTCCTGAAGAGGCTTCAGACCCTGTCTCTGTAAGCCCCCATCCATAAACAGGGGGATCTTGGGCTCAAGTGCCCAAATCAGTGAGGCTTATTTTCTTGAAAAAAGGTTCAGGCTGGTGAGGTTGGGGAAGAGAAGAGCTGAAAGCCTATCACTTAAAAGAAGCTTAAGCTCCTAGAGAGAAATTCAAATTCTGACTCTTGGCCCCAGGAAAGTCTCAGACCACTGAAAGGAAGCATAGATCCTTGTCACTTAGAAAAGGGACGAATCTCATGTACCTTAGTAGTTTCTGGTCCCCGAGTGTTAGTTTTGGCTCTTGTCCCCAAAGGGAAGAGAATCTTGTCTCCCTGGAGAAAAATTCAGATCCCCCTTCTCTAAAGAGAATATATATACACGTATATCTCAGGCTCTTGATTCTAGAAAAGGGAGTCTCAGGCACTCGAAGGCAGGCTTAGGACCCTTAAGGAAGTCTCAAACTCCACTGCAGGGTGGTCCTAAGCTGTGTCCCCGAGAAGGAAAAGGAAGGGGGACTGTCCTGTATAGACTCCTGAGAAGGAAAAAGAAGGGGGATTGTCCTGTATAGACTCCTGAAAAGGGTTTATGTATCTTGGGGACGCTCAAAATTCCCCTGAGGTCTCCACCTTACTTGTGTTCCCTGAAGGAGGAGTCTTAGACCCTTATCCCAGAGGAAAGGAAATCTCAAGGCACCGAACACAAACCAAGGTCCCTTGCAGTCATGAGACTCCCCTCTCAGGAGGCAATCCCATCTAATGGCCCTACTTGATGAGGTCCCAGGGCCCGGAATAATGGCTCTGGGTCCCAGAAGAGACCACAGACTCCATCCTTAAGTCCGCCATCTTATCTGGGGCCTCTAACCCCCAAGTCCTTGGTGGGGGGTGGGGAAGAGAGAGCCTCAGGCCCCCACCACCAGAGAAGAATGCCAGACTCCGGGAGAAGACGTAGGTCCCTCGGGACGATCTCAAACAGCCTTCTTTGGGTCCCTACCCGGTCTGGGGATCCCACCCACCATACCCACTCACCTGTTACCCCCAGCCCATACCTGCTCAACGGTTGCGGGGTCCATAGCCTCGATGCGAGCTGCAGCCGCTTCATACTCGTCTTCACTGTTATAACCCGCGCCGACCTCCTCACGCTCTGGACTGCCCCCTCCAACCGCTCCGACCCCAGGGGCTTGACGCCGGCGCTTGCTGTGGCCCGGCCCTGAACAGCAACCGCCAACGCCTACGGCTCCGCCCACGCCCACCACCACGCCCGCCGCGCCCACACCCGCCGCCGCTGCACCCAGCGCGTCGCCGGGACCGCCGCCGGGACCAACAGGGCCCCCGCAAGGAGGAGGTGAAGCCTGCTGTGACCGCGGACCCGCCACGGCGCCAGGCGGCACGGCCAGCGCCCAGCGGTGAAGCGCTCCCGGTGGCCCCGGTAGCGGGCCCTGAGGCGGTGGCGAGGCCCGGCGGGCGCCCACGACGCCCGAGTCACGGTCGCGGTCGCCACCGCCCACACCCGTGCCGCCGCCGCCCACGCCCACACCCCCGCCGCGACGCGGCGCCGGGGGCAGTGGCCCGGGCGGCGGCGGTTCGTTGGCGGGGTCGGCGTCGGGAGGCGGCGGCTTCTTTTTGGGGAGAATAGTCATGGCGGCACCGCCAAGTACCCCCCAGCAAACCCGGCGCGGGGCACGCCGGGAGAGAACCCGGATGAGGGGGCTACTGTGGTGCGCGAAGCACGACGGGATCGGCGGGACCCGGATAAAGAGATTGATGCACCGGTTCGAGAACCGTCGGTGGCGCGCGGGTCACGCGGCAGGAGAACCCGGATGTGAAGTCCTAGATGAAGGCACCGCGGCGGGTTTGTCGCAGCCTTCTCTCCAGTCCAACAAGTTTATTGCTACACTCGGTCGTTCCGGCCTGCTGCTTCAAAGGAAACAGAACCAAAACAAGCACCTCTTCGCCCCGCCCCCTCGCAGGTTCTTGAACTACCGGGTGGGGCCCCGGGGCGCTGCGCAAGCGCGCCAGGGCACGGCCCCGCCTCTCGTTCGGAAGTACGTGGGCAAAATCTTCGCCGCCGCCACAACAATCGCGGGCACCAACCAATCGGGGCAGCTGCGTGGGTGCTCGATGACGCCCACGGGCCAATCAGATGCGAGCGATCGCCCTCCCGTGCCCTCCGTCTCAGATTTCAGTCAAAGTCGGCACCCTCGTTCCTTGCCTTTCTTCTCGTCCGCCCCGTCGCGCTCTTCTCTCCTCTACGTTGTGACTCGCAGGCGGGGGTACTACGACAGGACAGCGTGGCCGGCCCCGCGCACGACAATTTTGAAAGCGCCTCCCTGCCAGGTTTCCAACTTGGCCGCAGTCAGCCGGACTGACTGGAAAATATCAACACTCCCAGAGTATAGCACTCCCCTGAAGCGTCAGTTCCGGTCCCACCCACCTGCAAATCTTTGGCCGGCGGGGAGGCGGGTGCCGCTTCACCCTGGCAACAGACCGAGTTCTGCGGTGATTAGTTAAGAGCAGCCGTCACTCACGTTGGGCCGGCCAACCCTGGGACAGACGTGCACCGTGGGGACCTTGGGTGTTTGGGAAGCAGACACGCCTTCTTTGGCTCCGCAGCACTCTCGCCCTCGCGTTGACCTCCCCGCCCCTGTGGCTAGTGCGCAAGCGCAGCACAGCCTTTCCACCGCCCTCCCCCGCCCCCCGCCCCCTGCCACTGAGTTTACCTGGGTTGAGCAAAAGTTTATGAACCAGCGCTGTCACCAGCCAGTGCTTAGCAAGGGGGTTGGTAAAAATCCCTGGTATTGAGCGGTTGGAGAGCTACAAGCTAATTGGAGCTCTGCCCCTCCTGTCTGAGTGATCTTTGGCGAGTCATTTAACATCCATCCCATCCGCAATTTTTCAAGAAATTTTATTTATTTATTTTTTTAGTAATCGCTGTACCCAGAGTGGAGCTTGAACTCACAACCCCCAAGATCAAGAGTCGCATGCTCTTAGGACTAAGTCAGCCAGGCGCCCCTATCTGCAATTTCTACTTCTCTGTAACATGGCAATGATAATTATGATTTAAGGATCAGAGGTTAATGCTTGTAAAGGGCCTAGTGCTGTGTCTGACACATAGTAGGTACTCAATAAATTAGTCTGAATGGCAGTGCAAGGAAAAGGATCCCAGGCTTTGGAGTCAGGAAGACCTCAGTTCCAGGACCTGATGGACCGTTACCAACTGTATGACCTCGAGCGAGTCATTGTGTCTCAAATTTGAGGTTACCCATGCAAAACGGGAATGATAATGCCTGCCCAGACTACCTCAGGGAGTAGTTATGGGGTTCAGATGGGCTTATGAACCAAGAAGTTGTTTCGAGAGGTGAGGGCTTGCTGCCAGTCTTGGGAGTCAAACCATACATGCTGACCGAAAGATGATCAGAAAGCTCTTCTGAGGGCGCCTGGGTGGCTCAGTTGGTTAAGCGACTGCCTTCAGCTCAGGTCATGATCCCAGGGTCCTGGGATCGAGTCCCGCATCGGGCTCCCTGCTCTGCGGGGAGCCTGCTTCTCCCTCTCCCACTCCCCCTGCTTGTGTTCCCTCTCTCGCTGTCTCTCTCTGTCAAATAAATAAATAAAATCTTTAAAAAAAAAAAGAAAGAAAGAAAGCTCTTCTGAGTGCCATCTAACCTTCTTCCTTCAGATGCTGACCTTGGTTGAAGTTCTTCCCCGAAGGGTGTCAGTTACAAATGGCATGTTGTGTTTTCTGCTCTGAAGACTCAGTGGGAGAGGACTCACATTTCCTGGGCCTATTGTGTTCAGGGCACTATGCCAAATGCCTATGCATGTTATCATATTGAATCTTCTCATGATCCTCTCACTTGACCTATATTTCCTACTAGATATTTATTTGTCCAGCACTACGTGTCTAAAATTGAATCTAGGGTAATCGTTGTAGCTAATCTTCACCAAGTACTTTCCATGTGCCTGGCACTGTGTGCTAATGGGTTTGATGTTCCTTTTGACAGTGAGTGCCGCCCCCCACTCAGGCTTTGCCCAAGCCAGAACCTGGGAGTCAACCTCGTCTGCTCCCTCTTCCTCAACTCCCACATGCCTTTCAATCCCAAGTCCTGCCAATTCTACCTCTCAAATCTCTTGATTCTCCAACTCTTACCACCACTACACTTCCAAGCCAGCATCACCCACCAAATGGACTACTGCAAAAGCCTCCTCACCACCCTTCCTCCCGCCAGGACTGTTTCTCTAGAATCCACTGTCTATAGCCAGAGCAATCCTTCTGAAATGCAAACTTCGTGATGACTTTCCCATTTACAAGCCTTCAGAGGTCCCCGTTATCCTTAGGATAAAGTCCAAAATCTGTATCATAGCTTCAAAGGGTTTTTGTGATCCGGCCTATCTCCACATCCTTACTCTCATCACAGCCTCACACTCTCCTCCCTAGCTGAACTGAACTAATTTCAGTTCCCCAAAGGCTCTGAGCTTGCCTCCTAACCTCTAGGTCATTGCACATGCTGTTCCATCTGCCTGAAACATTTTTATCCTTTTGCCTGGCTACCTCCGCCTCATTCTTTGGGTGTTGGCCGGGTTAGGTCCTCCTGTCATCTGCATGCTTCTGCAATCCCATCGATTTTAGTTCTACAACACTACACTGTAATTGCTTAATTGTCTGCCCTCCGTGCTCACCTCTGTAGATCAGAGACAATGTCTTCTTTGCCCATCTTTGTATCCCTAGGGCTAGCACATGATACGCGGTTAATAAATATTTGGTGAATAAATGATTATTATTTTACAAATCAGCAACCTGAGGCAAGAGAAGGTTTAAGTGACTCTCTCACCTGGGGATTGGAACCCAGGTCAACTCAAATCCAAGGTCTGTCTTCTCGGTGCTCCACAGGGCTCAGTCACACACTAGCCTAGCGTACCCAGTAGCCCAGCAGAGAGAATGCAGGCGATGTCCACAAGGAAGGGGAATTTGCCAAATTTGAGAGATGCTTTCTTTCTTCTTCCTTTTAAATCTTGCGTTCGTTCTTTTTTTAAAAGCTAGCTCTAGGCCCAGTGTGTGGCTTGAACTCACAATCCCGAGATCAAGAGCCACATGCTCTACTGACTGAGCCAGCCAGGCGCCCCTGAGAGATGCTTGTAATTAGGGTTCAGTTCAGAGTCATTTGCTGCCAGGAAGCCCGGGTTTAAGTCTCCTCTAACCAAGCGTGTGCTGCTGTGGGTCTCAGCTCTTCAAACCACCCTCTTTAATTCCTCCTAGATCCCCATCTTCCAGAACATGCCACCAACCATTGACCTCCCAATACCTGTACCCACACCTGCCCTTCTCCTGGTTGAAAGGAATTGAAACCAGAGTACTTTCAACCACCAGCCCAACCCAGCCTCCAAACCCACAGAGCCAGGAGGTGCTCATCCTCATCTCTCCTCTCAGGTTTTATTGACTGATGGAAACTACATCTTTGTCAGCCACCAGCTCCACGGGGACAGTGCTGGGGACAGGGAACCTGAGATGATGCCAGATTTCAGCCTGAGAGCAGACACAGAGTTCTGGAAGGTGACCCAAGAGGGAAAAGAGAGAGGAATATGTGAAAAGGCTTTGTGGGGTGGGGGGAGGGAGGAAGAGGAGATCAAGAAGTTCCTCCTGCCCCCAACAACTCCCAGAGTTCAGGAACAACCCAGGCCTCAGCCCCTGATGCTTCTGGACTCCTGCCCAAGAACTTGGAATCAGCTATGATCTCCAAACACAGCCCAGCTCTCGCTGGCTGCTAGGCTCTTATCTCAGCCAGTCCAGACCCCAGCCGAACCCAGGAAGGAAGCAAACCAGAGGAGAAGAGAGGAGTAGGTAGAGGCGGCCCCTCTGATTAGGGCAGATGTAAATGCTGCAGCAGACTGGGGCAGAGAGGCTTTGCATAATTGTCATGGCAGCAGCTGCTATTGCTAGAGTTTGCTGGGGGCCCAGCGGAGGACGGGGTTGCAGGGACCCGTTTCCAGCAGCCAGGAAAGGGGAGTGGTGTTTGTGCTATCTGTGTGGATCGGGAGAGGCAGCCTGACCCCTGAGCCAAGGCCGGGGGCTGGCAAGTCACTACTGAGGCCACGGCCCATGAAGCCTGTGGTTGCATTCCAAGCTTCAGAATTGGGGAGTTGTGGGGCTCGGTGGAGGGCGGGGACATCTCTTAGAGGCCAGATCAGAGGCGAAGGTTCTCATCTCTGAACCCCCAAACCTCCACAGCCCAGCCAGAGAGAAGAGGGAATCTCATCTCTCCTTCTCAGGCCAGAGCTCAGATGTCAGGTGGGGGCCCCAGGGGCCCAAGAGGAGGAGCATGCAGGAGGCCAGCTAGGGGAGAGAGGCCAGCCCCAGCGTGCTGGGGCAAGGAGGCCGGGGGTGGTGGTGGAGGGGGCGGGGAGGGGGCCTGAGGAAGCCCAGCACTTCAGTGCCCCCTGGAAAAACTGTCGGGGGTGGGGAAAGTTTCCCCTTCCCTGGCTGCTTCCCCACCAGGTGAGCCGTTCCATCAAACTCCATTGCATAGTTCTCAGTGGGGGGCAGAAGGGGTCCCCAGGCCTACCCCTCCCAGCCTCCCCAAAATATGGCTTTGGAAAGGAGTCCCCAAGAATCGAGAGGGCCCTCTGGACGGGCGGACCCACCGCTCACAGGGAAGAGATCTTGACAGTCTCCGGGAGGAGGCAAGGGGTGCCCAGGCTGGAGTTCCTGAGGGTGCTGCTGGCCCCACCACCACCACCAGGGGAGGAAGGTTGGCTCTCGTCCGGCGTGTTGGCAGGAGGGGTAGGGATACTGATGATGGCAGCCACAAAGTCCCGGCTGTCGCAGTTCAGGTCGAGGCTGTCATGGGGCTTGGCATTGAGGCTTGAGCGGCTGTGGATAAGGGTGGGGAGATGGAAGCTTCTTAAAAGGTCCTCTTAATACTCGCCCCAGCAATCGTGGCATTTATTGAGCGCCTGCTGGGTCCCTGGCACTGTGCTAAATGCTTCGCCTGCATCCTCCATTATGGCGGTGCCCAGTGAGGGCCCTGGGGTCAGGTGGTCCTGGGTTGAAATCCTGGTCTCACGTTGGCCCCTCTGAACCTCTCTTCTCTCTTCCATCTCCAGCATGGGAATAACAATATTTCCTACCTCATAGGGTCGTTGCGGAGATTAGATTAGCATAATGAGCACACAGGGAAATAACAATATTTCTTCCCTCATAGGGTCACTGTGGAGATTAAATGAGATAAGAGGTGCTACCAAGTGTTCAGAATAGTGCCTGGAACATAATGAGAACACATGCAAAAATGTTCTCCATTACGGTCACTCCTTACAATGCCAAAATCCTCACAACGATCCATTCTGAGAGCTGCACAACCTGGTCCCTGTTCCTTTCTGATTTGGCTTCCTACCACTCTCCCCCTCACTCACTCCACTCTGCTCACAGGAGCTTCCTGGCTGTGTCTCTGACATGCAGACCCACTCCTGCCTCAGGGCCTTTGCACAGGCTGTTTGCTCCCTCCCTCACCTTCTTCAGATGTCACCTCAGCAAAGCCTCCCCTGACCACACTATTTAAACTGCCTCATACCCTGTTCTATACTCTCTGTCCCCCACCCCCAATTTATTTTTCTTCTTGGCACTTAACACACCTCATCATCTGTCTTTGTTTGTTTATTAACTGTCTTATTGCACTAGAATATAAATTCCAGAAGGCCAAGGATCTCTCTCTGTTCTCTTCGCTGCCTGAAGTGAACTCAACTCCTAAACTCCTACAGGGAACTCCAAAGTGCCTAAAAGTGTACCTGGCATATAACAGGCGCTCAATAAATGTTTGCTGAAGGAACCGATGAAGAACAAGCTCCAGACAAGAGAAGCCCAAGCTCCCAGCATAGAGGAGTTTGGGCTCAATATTGGCTTGCTGGGCGCGAAGTCATGACATCTCAGAACCCCCGCCCCTGGGGCCAAGCTCTGAGCTCCCCCCGGGGGGGAGCCAGCAGGTGGGGGTGCTTGCCTCTGAGGGGCAGGGCTCCTGCGCAGCCCTGCCAGTGTGTCCAGCTCCTGCATGCTGCCGCGACTGACTGAAGCCATAGAGTTGGCGAGGCGAAAGGCACGGCGCTTGGCCCTGCGGGGGCAACAGGAGGACAGCAGGCCGCCGGGCCCCACTGCCTGGGAGGACACAGAGGTGCTGCGGCTCGTGCGGCCCCCCAGTGAGACAGCGCCCAGAGCCTCACTGAAAGTCAGCTCATCCGTGAACTCATGGCACTGGGGGCAGAAGAGAGGCACCGTCACCAGGCAGCACACGGGAACTGACCCCACCCCCGGGCCTTTGCTTAGGCTGCTCTTTCCTTTCCAGAAGTCTCTCTCGCTTCCCTTCCCTTGCCCACCCTTCAAGGCTCAGCTGTACTGGGGCCTCTTCCAGGAAGCCCTCTGGGATTTCCACAATTAGTAGTGAGCCTCCCATCCCGGGGGGGTGGGGGGAGCTGGCCTGGCCGCAGAGGAATGCCCCTCCTTCTGCCACGCCGCCACCTCTCCTTAGGCCTCACCGTTGTCTTCTCTAGACAGTGCAGGAGGTGGTGATGTTGTTGCTCGAAAGCAGACCGGTTCCGGACACACAGCGCCTGTTCCTCCCCGCTGCCGCTGTCCTGGGTTGGGGGGGCGGGGGACGGAGCAGAGCACTGAGGTCAGAACCTTCTTCCTCCCGTCACTGCTCCCCTCCCCCCAACCCCAAGGCAGGCCCCTCCCCACCTCAAGGCCCCCGTTCTGCTTGTACTGCAGGAAGGCATTGGTGGTACCACTCTTTGCCAACCGGATCCTTGCCAAGCGCACCTTCTACAGAGAAAGGAGGAGACAGAGAGTCAGGTGGGTAGACACAAGAGTAGACTGGCTCGGGGTGTGGGCAGCAGGAGGTACTCAGAGGGAAGAGGCAGGTACCTGTTGTGCTCGGCGCTTGTCAGCACGCTGGTTCTGGTGGTAGATGCGGCTAAAGTTGGACACGATGACCGGCACAGGCAGCGCGATGACCAGGACACCGCTGAGGGAGCAGATGGATCCGAAAATCTTGCCAGCGATGGTGCTGGGCACCATGTCTCCATAGCTGGGGCCGGGGGGGGGAGCCAAGGTCAAGAAAAGTGCGCACCCACCCCTCAGTCTCCCACTCTGTCCCATCCAACCCGACACGCTCTGCGACCCTGGCCAGGCACTGAAACTTTCTGAGCCTCAGTTTCCTGCTCTGCAAAATGTGGGGAAAGACCTTTCTGGCCACCAGTGGGGGTCAAATGAGAAATTGGCCCTCGGCTCCTATCATCTGCTGCCCCCCCATCTGAGTTGCACACCGAGCATCTGAGTCAGCTGGAAATCTATTAATGCCAAACAGAGGAGAGAAGGAGGAAGTCATAGGCAGTAAATATAGTCTCCTGGGCAGAGAGTCCCAGCACCCCAAGCCAGCTGAGGGGCTCTGAGTCCTGGGAGCAGTGCTCTGTTAGTTTTGCTTACATCTGTCTTACCTTTTCTAGGTAGGACCCCTTCTTATTACCCCAGAAGAAGCCTTGAAACTGTCCTCCTATGAAAAAATAGGGGGGAGCCTTGTAACTCCCTCCTCTTCTTCATGCCACCTCTTCTCCCAAGGAGATGGAGCGGTGCCGATCTTACCAACTTGTTTCACGGGGCCGGGGTGGGGGGACCAAAGCTCAGGGAGGTTCCGTAGCTGACTTGTTCAAGATCGCACAGCATACTTTTTTGTTCTGACCACAGGAGCAATTAGATCCCCTCCCCTCTGCAGTCCCAGCCTCTGCAGTCCCAGCCTCTAGGCCTTCGCTCAGTCCATGTCCCACTCCCCCTCCCCCCAAGGATGGCTGTTCCTTATTTCTTTGTTTTGACTCATTTAAAAGTCTCTCCAACTTGGCCATTTCTGGTCTGTGATGTGTCATCTCAGACTGTGTCCTCAACTATGAGACGCAGGCAGCTGTCCACCCTCCCGGGGTTGCTGTGAGGACTCGCTAGGGTAAAAGGCACCCAAAGACCCAGTTCCAACCCACTCTCAGGGCTCAGTATTTGTATGTCGATCCAATTCTGAACCTCCAACCAGAATGAATTTCTACTCCTTAGCAACCTGAAAGCCACTTTTCTGTACCTCTCTGAAAGCCCCGAGCAAGGCCAATTCACCCATTCGACAGATCCTGAGCAGCAACTGCACGCCTATTCCCAGCGATGGAAATTTAGAGAAGGAGCGCGGTATCTGCCCTGGACAATGTCTTTAAGAATAACATGAGTTGGGTGATCCCATTTGATGCCTTTATCCCAACTGTTCCCTCTCAAGGACTGACACTAAAAACATAATGCCGAAAATACCTTGACCTGGAGAACATCAAGGAATCACAAAGCCACAGAGGTAGTACTCCATACGGCAGATGATTCTGGAGGTTTGGGAGACATGGGTCCTCAAGGTGGGAAAAGGAGGTGATGGAAAGCCAGTACCTAGGTATCCTACACCAGAAACTTTCAGAGAACTTTCACAACCATGAGGTCACGGAATCCCCTCTAAATGATGAAGGGATCACCATTTCCCATTTGACACAGTGGGGGAAACAGGCCCAGAGAGAACAAGGTCAACAGAAAGAGTGCACCTAAGACAATCCTTGGAACCCAAGTCTCCTGACCCGGACAGTGAAGGCATCGTCAGACCTGCGAGGGATTTGGAGATTGGTCCAACTCCCTCTGTTTTTTTTAGAGAAGAGCAAACGGAAGCGCAAATCGAGAAAAAAGAGATCGTTTATCTACCCTTCTTACTCTTACAGAAAACGGTGAGTGTAACTGGTCGGGCAGCTCCCAACACAGGGTCTGCACTCACCCAAGTGTGGTCATGGTGACAATGGTATACCAGAAGGCCGCAGGGATGCTAGTAAAGTTGGTCTTGTTTGTGCCCTTCTCGGCATAAAACATGACAGTGGCGAAGATGATGATGGCCATGGTGAGGGAAAAGAGGAGAAAGCCGAGCTCAGAGGCACAGCTCTTGAGGGTGTAGCCCAGAATCCGCAAGCCCTGTGAGTGCCGGGAGAACTTGAAGATGCGGAACACCCGGAACACACGCAGGGTGACGAAGGCGCCCGAGACATCCTCGTTCTTGGGCACGAAAAGCCCGATGTAGTAGGGCAGGATGGCCACGACGTCGATAAGGCTCATTACACTCCGCAGGAAGCGGCACCGGCTGGGGGCGGCGAACAGCCGCAGGAGGTACTCGCCCGTGAATATGAGCACACAGGCCGTGTCCATGCAGAAAAAGGCCAGCGGGAAGCGGTCGCCGCAGGGCTGCTCCCTCGGGGGCCGCCGCGCGGGGCCGCGGCACGGGATGGTCTCCACCACGTTGGCGATGACTGAGACGGCGATGAAAAAGCCCGTTACGTAGTAGAAAACGAGGGCCGCGGTGCTCGTGTGCGGGTTCTCGAAGGCCCGCCAGAGCCGCTGCCGCAAGGAGCTGCCGGCCGGCAGGGCTGGGCCATCGCCGGCCTGCTCGGCCTCCTCGTCCTCCGCCAGGCGCTCGGCGTTCTCCTTCTTGCGGTCCCGGTACTCTTCGAGGCAGCAGTCGCCCACGAGCTCGGGCACCAGGCCGTAGAAAGCCAGCTCTTCGTCGAAGGCCTGGATGCACTCCTGCCGCGGGCAGTGCAGGCGGCCCGTGCGGTAGAAGTTCAGCACGTGCCGGAACATGTCCGGGTCGCGATCGAAGAAGTACTCGCCCGAGTCCGCGTCATAGAAGAATTCCTTCTCGGAGCTGCCTAGCAGGGTGTCTGGGTAACGGTCCAGCGTGTTCTTCCAGGTCTCGAAGCGCCGGCCGCTCACATTCACCACCAGAACCTCGTCCCCTCGGGACGCCTTCACCCCCGGCGCGGGGGGCAGCGGCTGCTGGGCCAGGGGCAGCCAGCCCACCGCGGCCGCCCGCGCAAAAGGCAGCCACGTGGCCACGCCTGCCGCCATCCTGCCGCGCGCCCCAGGCCCACGGAGACTTGGGGGGGGGGCCTTTAGGAGAGTGTGGCTGTCTCCAGGATGGTGGGGGCTTGGAGAGGCCCTGGGCCACTCGCACAAGCAAACTGGGGGTGTCTACAGAGGCCAAGAGGAACCAGGAGGAACTAGAGAGACGGGCAGGGGCTTGGGGGGCATTTAGAGGGTCTGGGGGGGACTTGGGGGTTGTCTTGAGGGACCTACGGAGGAGGGGCTAGGGCACATGGAGAGGAACAGCAAAGGGGCGCCTGGAGGGGCCGAGAAGGATCTGAGGGAGTGTTTAGAGAGACAGAGATGGCTCTAGAGGGGTCAGCATGTGCCTGCGAGATGTCTGGGGTGTCTAGGGGGGCAAGAAACACTGGGGAGTTGTCCACACTCTCAAGAGTTCTCAGGGAAGATGGGGCTGGGACCCCTTAGTGGGCTTGGAGAAGGGACCGGGGCGTCCAGAGGGGTGGAAATGGGACCAGAGGTGTTTCAAAGAGGCCGAGGGTGTCTAGAGGGGGCGTTCTAGAGGGGCCGAGAAAAGTGAGGCGGCTCATCCACACCCTCAAGACTTCTGGGGAAAAGATTAGGGGACTGGAGCTCCCTCCTGGATCCAGGAAAGGGGTTCGTGCACGAAGAGGTGGCTATAGAACCAGGAGGTTGTAAAGTGGCTGCGAGGTGTTTTGGGAGTGCCTGGAGCTGCCAAGAATAGCCTGGCGCGGGGGTGGGGGGGGTGGGGGGGGTTATCTACACTCTACAGGAGTTCTGGGGAAGGAAGGCGAGGTGGGGCCCCCTAGAGGGGCTGGAGAAGGGAGTGGGGCATCTAAAGGGGTAAGATATGGGGCTAGGTTATTTTTCAGAGACCGAGAGGTGTCTGGGGGCGAGGGGTATGGGGGGGGGTTGCTGAGAAAGTCTGGTCCACCCTCCCAAGAGTTCCAGGTGGGAGGAAAGGGCCTGAGGAAGCCCCCTGGGGCTCAACTGGAAGTTGGGCACAACCCCAGAGCACCCAGAGGATGGATAAAAACTAAGACAAGAGGAGGGGTCCCCCCTCCCCCCGCAAAATGGGTTGGAGAGCGGGTGGGGTGTTAAAAGGAGTTGGGTGTGTCTCCAGGGAGGGGGGCTGGCGGGCCTTGCGGGGGGCGGATGGGGGAGGACGGGGAGAAGCTGCGTCCCACCGTTAGGGGCTGGTCTGGGGAAGCCACACCCCGAGGGGCCGGCGGTAGAAGCGGCGGCGGCAGAAGAGGGGAAGCAGCCACAGTCGGCCCGGGAGAGAAGGCGGCACAGGCAGGGGGAGGGGGCCGGGGCCCTGGAAGGACAAGGGCCAGGAGAAGCCCTGGGGACTATCCCAGGATGGGCTAGAGCGTGGGGGCTGGACCAGGGAAGGGACAAGGACAGCGCTGTTGGTGGCCCCCTCCCCCTCCCCCAAGGACCGTCCTCACCTGTGTCCCCGCTGCAGCGGTGGCCACAGCGGTGGGGCTGGGGGTACCAAACACCGGAGCTCCTGCCCCCCTCTGCAGAGCTGCCCGAGTTCTCCTCCTTCTCTGCTTCTCTCTCCCCGCCCCTCCGAGCTTGCCGGGAGCTGGAGAGAGAGGCAGGGAGGGGCCTCGTGGCTCCCGGAGCCCCCTCCCCTAGGACAGCCTGAGAGGGACCCTGGGGAGACTCCGCCTCCTACAAAGCTGGTTGGGCCTCAGTCGCGTCATCTGGAAAATGGGGGTGGCAGGGAGCTCTGCCAGTTCTCCCCACCTCCTTCCTGGACTCCCCCCTCTTCCTGCCCAGCTCCTACCCCCTCTGCCCCCGGGGGCCCCCACCCCCACCCGTCTGAATCAGCAGCACTTAGCAGATCTGATCGATGGGGAGGCGTCTGTTAATGGCCCCAGAGCGGAGTGCCATGGGGAATGATGCAGCGCTGTGTCCCCTCCCTGCCCCCATGCTGGAGAAGGGCTGGAGAAGGGGGTGGATGGGGGGACTGGTGGGGGGCATTTCTCTAGATGGCCAGGCCCCCAAAGCTGCTCCCTGGGTGGGGGGGTGCATGCGTTAGAGCCCAGTTCTGACCAAGATGGTTGCTATGGGACTGGAGCACCAGCCTGAAATAGGGGGTAAGGGGAGTGTGGATGGGGGCAAGCCAGGATGGGGACAAGCCAGGTCCCACCCCCATGCCAGGGTCTCTCGCAGGCGGGCCCCACTCTGAGGGGCAGTCTGCCTCATCCCTCTGCGTCCAGGAGCCTTAATTCACGCCGCCTCTGCTAGAGGACTCTGCTCCCGGGTGGCATAGAGTACTGGGTACCGAGTGCCTCAGACCACGGATGGGTTTGAACCCCAGCTTTGCTACTGACTTGCTGTGTCCTTGAGCAAGTGACTTGTGTTGTATCCTCAGCTGTCAGATGGAGAGTTACCCCAACTTGATAGTATAGTGGGAGGCATTAAATGGAGTCATGTGAGAGGGGATGGCACAGGGCATGGCGCACAGGGGAAGCATTTTTTGGTAATTAAAAGTGTGGCGGGGGGGGAGCACTAAGGGGGGACCAATTTTCCCCTTTCAATCAATCTACCCACCTGTGTAATCCTCAGTTTGCTCACTCATCACACTCCCGATTTGTCTTGTTTCTCCATCCCTCCATCCACCCACCACGCACCTATCAATCCATTCTCCCACCCACAACCCAGTGCTCTACCTATCCCTCCATGCACCCACTCGCTCATCCATTTGTATGTTCACCCCATCCACCTATTTGCTACCCTATCCTTATGTACCCCCAGCACCCATTATCTGTCCATCCATAGCCGTGCCCATCACTTACTTACCTACTCTTCACTCTTCCTCATCCATCCATCCATCCATCCATTCCCCTGGCCATCCGTCTACTTACATCTCCGACCTATCCATCTATCCATTTATTCATCCAATTGCCTATCCAACCATCTGCCTGTGTATTTCTTAACCTCCCCCATCATTGATCTGTGCAACCTTCCACTTATTTATCCATCAGTCCATCTAACCACTTATCTATCCTCTCACCTGCCCACTCTTATCCACACCCATACCCCACACACATCCACCCACATACATATCTGTAGGTATTTCTGTGCCACTCGGTTGGAGGGGCGGACCCACGGTAACTGCAGACAGCTGGGGGAGGTTGGGGGAAGGAGAGTGAAATTGCAGCCACAGACCTCCCTCCCGGTTCCAATGGTGTGACCTCCCCATCCCCATCACACCCCTCCGGGTTGGAAAGAATGAGAGTAGACAGTCAGTGGGTGGGCCCATCTGGCCAGATGGTATTTTGGCTGCAGCCTTTACACACACACACACACACACACACACACACACACACACACATTGCTAGAACACTGAACATGGACCACGCCCCACCCAAACATCCCCAATCCCAAATGCAGAGTAGCCAGGCTTCCAGACATAAATTAAAAAATAAAATAAAATAAAAAAGAGTTGGTCTCTGGGGAGGGAGAGCTCATGCAGAGATGAAGGCAAAGGCCTCTGGGAGCCAGGGCAGAGAAAGACGAGAAATCCCTGCCCCTCCCCTCAGGATCCCCACTCCCTGAGGGCTTCTGCCCTCAAACAGGGTCACTAACACCAGCCAACAGGCCTGTAACCCCTTTAATGTCCAGTCTCCCAACCTATTTGATTTTGGCCCCATTTTCCCACCACAGCCCAAGGGGATGGTGTCCTGGGGGGGGGGGAGGGGAGGGAGTAGGTGCAGCCTTCAGGTCTTTAGCTGGCTTCTCCCGGTTCTAGGTCTGGGTCAGGGGACCCCACGCACTCCTTGCTGAGCCGCACAATTTCCTGGGAGAGAACTTCGATGTCCTAAGAAACAAACGAGCCATCAGGGGCCAGGGAAAAGAGCAGGGGACGCTCCCTCACCAAACCCGGGGTGTCATCCTTCTCACCTCATTAATCAATGCCCAGCTATGTCTAGCCTGGCACAGGAAGGTATTTGGAGAGGCTCACAGAACCCCAGCAGTGGGTTGGGCTTGGAAAAGATGGGGGGGCGGGAGCCTCCCAGGGGAGGGGGACCTAAGGATACGGATATGGGAGCAGATCACCCGCTGCATGTGGTGCGGCCAGAGGATACAACCCTCCCCTTGCCACCAGCTTTTCTACTAAATGGTGAGCTCACTTCTCAGAGGCAGGGGCTGGGTCTGTAACCTTTCTGACTCCCCCAGAAATGGGGGAAATATTTGGGGGGGTCAGGATGGGCAAGCAGATGTATGGGGTGATCCATGGTAGGTAAACAGGTGAGCAAAGGAATGGTTCAGAGGACGGATGGAGGACAACAGCTAGGCAGGCAGGTCACTGGGCAGGTGGGTAAAAGTTAAGACAAGGGGTGACTGATGAGGTGGTGTGAGAGAGAGAGAGGTATGTCAGGAAATGGGTGGAAAGACACGGGGCAGATGATTAGATGGGCAAGTAGGGCAGGTTGATGGGCGAGCTGGGTGAAATGTGCGCGAACAGATGAGCGGGTGGGTGCAAGGACAGAGCGAAGAGTGAAATGTACGAGGGAGAGCACGTCAGTTGACTGGAGGATGGGGAGGTGGGGCTGGAGGCGTGGTCAGTGAATGGGTGGGGGGTTCTGGATGCTGGCAGATGACCCGGGGGCTGTGTGGCACGGGAGGCAGGCGGCGAGACGGACAGATGGGTAGGCTGGTAGGCCACACTCGCCTTGTGCAAGTGCATATTCTTGGTGAGTTGCTCCTCCAGCATGTTCTGGAGCTTCTTGTTCATCTCCCGAAGATTCTCGTCACCTGGCTTCACGAGGTCTCTCAGGACACTGCCCAGTCCACTGCGGTCCGTGTGGCCGGCTGCCACGGACACATCTGCAAGGGCCCAGGCTGAGGACCTGCCCTTCGGCAGGGCCGGAGGACAGACAACAGAGACGGGGCAGAGAAGAGGGAAGCAGAGAGTGGGGGCAAAAAGCAGGGGGCAAAAGCCATGTGATGTCAAGGCCAAGGCTCTGCCATGTGAAACCCAGCCGTCACTTACTAGAAATGGGGGTAATAGCCAACTCGTGGGGCTGGAAAAAGGTCTCCGACCGCATGCAAAACACAGAGCACCCAGCTCTCAGCATGCATCAGTCCGTGTTATTCTGACTCATAAAGGAAAAACAGGGGTAGGAGAAAGCATGAAAGAAAGGAGCAAAAGAAACAAAGATGGGGGCAGAGGAAAAAGAGGAGAGAAAGTGGGAGAGGAAGAGATAAGGACCCCCTTCTTCAGAGGACAAGAACTTCCGGAGGAGACACGGTACAGACAAGCAGTAGGAGCAGTGAGACGAGATGATGGGGTGCAGCAGAAAGAAGAGATGGGGAGAGAAAGGGGACAGAGAGCCACACCAGAGAGAGGAGAGTGGAGTGAGGACAGAGACCCAGACAGAAGGGAAGAGCCGAGGTAAGAGACAGACACACAGGGGATGGACGGGCCGGGCCTGCTCTCCCCTCCAACAGCTGTGGTCTTGTCAGTACCTTTGCTGAGTCGCAAGAGGAGAGGAGACAGTGGGGGAGGAGGAGGCAGGTCAGCGGCCGGATGGGGGGGTGAGGCTGGGGAGGAGGCACTGACCGATCCGGCTATCCATGACGTAGGTCTCGATGATGGCGCTCTTCCGGCAAAGGTCCTCCGCCATGGAGGCGCTGCTCACCTCCAGGTGCTTCACCTGCAGGGCATGTTCACACGTAACAAGGGGCCCAGCCACACATCCCCCCTCCACACTCCAGCCTCCCCTCCAAGGGTGTGCCAAGTGAGGACAAGCAGGCAGACAGCACCTTCTCCTCCAGCATCCATTTCTCTTGCTGCGTCTCTGCCAGGCGCTGAAAGAGCTCAGCCACTTCCTCATCTGACAACTCTGCTGGCCGAGGGGGCTGGGCCTGAGGGCTGCTGGATAAGGACTGCGGGGAAGAAGAGGGGAGAGGCCAGCCCAGGGTCAGTGCTGTCGCCCGCCCCCAGTTAGGATCAGGGGCTGAAAGGGAGCCAGGGCTGGGTGGGGGTGGGCTCTGTGACAGGGGCCATAGACCAAGTCTCAGCACCCACAGGGACTCTGGATCTCCCTTTGCCTAAAGAGGGACACAGGAACCGCCACATCATTTCCTCATTGAGAGGATGAAGGGAGAGCCTCTAGCAAATGAGATCTTGTTTCCAGTCGACACGAAAACTAGAGGACAGAGCAACAAGCTAAATGATACCACTAGGAAGCCAGCAGGAGAACCCAAAAGGTGGGACGTTTTCTTCAGGTCAACTGGCTGGTTTCTTCTATGGGTTGGTGTCATGGAAAAAAAAAAAAAAAAGAAAAAAAGAAAAAGGACCACACTAGACTCAAGAGACTTAAAGGGCATAAAGCAACCAGATGCGACATGTGCTCTGAAACTGAATGCTGGTTTTCGAGGACATTTTGGGGCCAACCAGGGAAATCTGATTAAGATCAGAGTACTAGAGAAGATGAAAATTTATGAAATCGGGAGGATAAAGATCAGCTGAACAGGGGCGCCTGGGTGGTTCAGTCGTTAAGCGTCTGCCTTCGGCTCAGGTCATGGTCCCGGGGTCCTGGGATCGAGCCCTACATCGGGCTCCCTGCTCTGCGGGAAGCCTGCTTCTCCCTCTCCCACTCCCCCTGCTTGTGTTCCCTCTCTCACTGTCTCTCTGTCAAATAAATAAAATCTTAAAAAAAAAAAAAAGATCAGCTGAACAAAAACAGGTTACTTACAATCTCATTTAGGTTTAAGAAAGAGAGGGGCACCTGGGTGGCACAGTTGGTTAAGCATCCAATTCTTGGTTTCAGCTCAGG